TCTGAAGAAGGCTGACAACACGCCACAAGTGTAATAATAAAGATTAAGATTAAGGAGGTGTTTGGGTGATTAAGAAATATGAAATAAATATATGAAAGGAGTTTTGTCTGAAAGAATTTTTTAACAGTGCTTTTGTTAGAATCCAAACACCCTTTAAATCTTTATGACATATATACTCAAAACCAATTTATACATTGTCATCAACTTGTGACTTTATGACTCGTGATTAAAATTAGGGGTGTGCATGGACTAGACTGGACCGGGTTTGTTATCAACCCGAAGTCTGGTCCAGTAAAGACCTCGGGCTGAAAAAAACAGCCCGAGGTCTGGTCCAGTCCAGTGCCAACCCGAGGTCGGGTTGGACTGGACTTGGTCCTCTGGACTGCCTGGACCAGTCCAGGCAGTCCAGAGCTAATTTTAATTTTTGTTTTAAAAAAAATTTCTTTAATAGGAGGCAAGATTGTAACTTACTATATAAAATTTTGCACATATTTAATTCAAAATTTATCAAATTTGATCATTCCTTTTCAATTTCCCAATGAAGTCATGTTTTATTAATTAATTCTCATCAATATAGATCTTAAATTGTAGAAAATATATATATACTCCTCCGGTCCTTATTATAAGACCCAATTTGACTTTTATTTGGTCCTAATTATAAGACCCAATCCATTTTTTCTCTTATATTTATGCATTTTTTCCAACATAATCCTTCTAATAATGATAGTTTTAGCCAATATACTTAATTAGCAAGGATATTTAGGAATGATAACACTTATTTATTATAAATAACCAACTCAACTTACTTCCTTAATCTCCTCAAATAAGTCAATTGGGTCTTATAATTAGGACCGGAGGAGTACATGCTCATTACTTCGAAAGTTAATAGATAAATCTTAATTATTTGAATAGATAAAAAATTTATATAGAAAAATTAAATCAAATTAAAATTATATAAATAATAATTTAAAAAAATCGGACTGGACTGGACTGGACCAACTGGTCTGAGGGGTCAGTCCCTAGTCCAGTCCAGCCCGATGAGACTAGTCCGGTCCAGTCTGGTCCAGTCTTGTTTCGGGCCAATTTTTTCTGGACCAGACTGGACCGGGTTTGTTCGGGTTGGACCGAACCATACCGGACCACCGGGTTTTTGCACAGCCCTAATTAAAATATCTCAACTCAACGTCATATATATTAGGACGAATCACAGAGTAACAAATTATTAATTTCATTTTCTATGCTTTATGGTGTGCTCCACAAAATAAAAAGAAATATTAAAAGATACAAAATTCCTTTTTGTTAACACTTATCAGCTACATAAAACTAGCGAGAAATTCTGATTCAAGTCTCATCAAGTTTTTTTTAAAAAAATAAAATAGCGAAAATGAATTTCCATCCGAAAGAATGCTATACAACAAGGAATCTGGAAATAACAAAAAAATCACCAGATTCAACCAAGAGGGAGGAGAGAAGACTTCAGCATCTTGAGTCCTGGGCAAAATCTCATCCAATTTTAAACGAGAATTTGCTTAAATATGTTTTGTTTTTAATCTCAACTCAAATTTCATAATTAGGTGAGCCCATTCTCTCATCCAATGTAAAAGTGTGTGTTTAATCACCCTTGTTAAATCTTCCTTTCCAGTGGTAGTAAGTTTCTAAAAATAAAATTAGACTCTTATTTAATCGAATCAAATTGTGCGGAAGTAATCTGATTTGCTTGTAAATGCTTAGCTGAAACGCAGTGCAGTCTTTCTAAAATGGGCCCATTGGATCTTTTAATCAGCCCAAACCTAAGCCCATATCTTTTTATAAGCTCGGATGTTGCAGAATTTGGAAGAATTGCTTGTGCCGTAGTTTTCTTCACCTAAGTCGTCCGCCGGACAGGATGCCGGAGAGCGACCCAGTGGTTGGCCTCTCGTGGCAACCTAAGTTGCCTATTCTATCTTCTTCTTCGAAGGCAGCAAATGTTTCTCAGAGAAAATCTCAACCCGAGGCCAGTAGTAGCGCTATCTGGAAACCCAACTCCGAGCTTGTTCATGGCCTCTTCGTTCCGCCCAGCGACCCCAAAAAATTGAATAAGTTACTCAGAAAGCAAGTTAAAGACACAGCGGGAAAAAATTGGTATACTTCCATTCCGACTACATATTATGTTCTAAATCCTTCTGTATTACTTTGTTATTCCTTTTTTAATCATTGTGATTCATATTTCCTCTTTTGCTTAGGCTTAACTTGGTTATATATACTTGTGATTTGAGACGGAAATTATCGTGTTTTCCTTTTCTTGTTTTCCCCTTTCGTATCTTTGTCAGGTTCGATATGCCTGCTCAAACCATGACCCCCGAGTTGGAGAAAGATCTGAAGCTATTGAAGGTTCTGTTATTTTTAATTTTTGATATCTTCTTTTCTTTTGATCTGATGTATGGTAGATGTTATGTTATTATAGCCTTCATACTTTTTAAAAGGAATGGTATATGTTGATGGTTACAGTTGAGGGGTGCCATTGATCCCAAACGGCACTACAAGAAGGGTGATTCAAAATCAAAAACGTTACCCAAATATTTCCAGGCAAGTCAATGTTTGCACTAAATAGATAGCCGCAGAATTTATATAACTCGTGGCATCAATGTTATATAACTTGTGCGTTTATATCATTTGAACATTATCAGGTGGGAACAGTTGTGGAGTCTTCAGAGGACTTCTTCTCAGCAAGATTGACAAAGAAGGAGAGAAAGGCAACACTTGCTGATGAGCTGCTTTCTGATCCTGCCTTTTCAGCTTACAGGTAAGCTACACAATGTCTATTTGTCTTCATGGAATGATCTTGCAAGACTTATTGTCTTCATTTTGTATGCATGCTGCGGTGAGTTTACACATGGATATATCAAGATTCACAGCTATAATTTAAATATCAGAATCCATTTGGGAAAATGCAAGTGACACTCGTGTGATCAAAAGTTTGTCAGTTAGAGGGGGAATGGGTATGTAAAATTATATTTTTGTAGATGCTCCACTGCAACATTCAACACGCACTGAACAGTGTCTTGTACCATTATAAGGCCCTGTTTGCCATCACAATTAAAATCCCTTATAAGCAGATTTTACGTAAGTCGAGACAAAATTTTTTTTACATATTTACTTCGTATTCTGTAAATCACAATTAAAAAGTTACTTATTAGTTATTACAAACGGACCCTAAGTTGGATTGCTGAAGGTGCGGCTGTTAAGCCTTTAAAATGGTGTGAGCATGTGGGCACTTCTGGTAACGTGTTTTTTTTTAGAAGAAAGCACCATACAATGCTATGGCATTAAATGAATGATACATCTGAAGAGTTGATTGTTGATAGGGTAAAATGGCATCATTGCAATTAATGTAGCCAAACTCGGTAAAATAAGGCTTGTCTTAGTCATTGTTTCAGTCTCCTTTTTTTGGGTTCCATCTCCCATTACACTAATACCTTTTGTTGTACAAAGGTAGCGTTCTTGGTGTTTTTCCCCTTTTTTTTTGGGCTTATGATTTTTCTCCCTTTTGGTCTTTCTCGGTTTAAGAGGAGTGGAGGGCAAGTCTTTACGCACGGAATGGGTTATTTGTTTCACATTTAAAAGAAAAAATTCTCTTGCATCACGCTTGATGATGGATAATGGTTAGGCACATGGATAACATTTCTACTTTGTTTGCATGGTGCCCAAGTATACCACCTCTTGTATTTTTTGTCCGAAATAAAAAAGAAAGAGGCCTCTCTTAGATAAAGTTCAGATAATTAGCTGGTTAAACATTTGAAGATAAGTACTTAAAGACGGAGTTGCGCATTCAAAGGGTAGGCTTTCTCTTATGCTTGCTTGGTTATTTACTCTTTGGTTGTTTATCATTTACTTTAGGAAGCGGAAGGTTCGAGAGATTGAAGATGAAAAGCGACCAGGTGGAAATAACAAGTGGAAGATAAAGGGTCAGAATACACGCGTGCGTGCCAAGGAAAGAAGGGTCAAGAAAAGAAGGGATTAATGAATTGCCACCATTTCGAAATTAGACATTAAATGTTGCAATGGCATTAAAAAGAACACCATGGTGCTCTTATCATGAAGCAGCACGAAAGGATCTTAGCTCTTGAGATTTTGTGCCCCTCCTGGGATGGTTAAAAAGTCAAAGGTAGGGACATGAATAGCAAAGCATTCCTTCTTGTACGTAGATACAATAGTATTTTGGCCTCTTCAAGGTAGATGCAATAGTTACTGACTTACTGCTATGAAAAATATCATAACTTATCTGGTATATCGAATTTATTTAAACTAGGCCTACGATGCCTGCCGTTTCTTTGGTATTATTTTGTCTTGCTTAATGTTTTCTCAAAAGCACTGTTATGTTTTATTTTAGAACTAGGAGAAGGGCAAGCCGCAGGGTATTCCGTTGTCCTTCTTTGCCCCCGTTGGCATCCCTATGTTACATTATTTTAACAACGGAGTTTTGTTTACCATTGAAATCTGAATTAGCTGGCCAAAAACGTATATATCAGGATCCTACATAATTTTATTGAAGTTTAGTTCGTCGGTATTTAGATAGCATATAACTAAGATGACATCAAGGTGTTTTTTTTTCTCTCTTTCTTTTCTTTTTTTCCGGTTGCATAACACAGTAACCATTGCACGTGTAACTGGGGCTGATCGAATTTTCTCTCTCTCCAAACTACTGGAAACAACTTCAGAGAAATGAATACTTTCAATCACTACAAATTAAATCATATTAAATTGTCCTTTCCATCCGCCTCCGGTTGATCACAATCGCTTGGGTGTTTGGGGTTGCTGGACCCACGCTTTTAAAATTTTCAGTATCGGACTAATTAATTGATAGGTTCCAAACATCGCATCTTTCCCCCGAATTCTGTTTCTGAAAAATATCCTAAACCCAACAACCTTTTGTTTCTGAAAACTAGCAATCATATCAACGCCAAATACGACAGAAATTCTATTTCCGATAGAAATCGGGCAACTGCCAAAAGCTCGATGTAACGGGAACGAGAGAATCATTTCTCATGCATAATCGTCGAGCATTGTATAATGTCATATCTACAAGAAAATTACCGATTAGAAGAATGGAAGATTGACAGTAAATTTGTTATTTTCTGGAGTCACAATCCTTTTATCTTGCAAAGTGCTTCCTCCAGTAACTTGTGGTAACTTGGAGTTAGGAGGAACCAGAATAATTACTTTCAGGGCAAAGGTTCCTGAGAACCACCCAAACGAGATAAATGCAGATACGCATCGGTCCCTGCGAATAGACAACCAGAACAGTATTAGAACTCTCAATTGTTGAAGCAAGCACAAATGAGCACTTATATGTCTATCTTATCTTTGGCTCTTGGGGCACATCCATCGGATCTGTCTCAATTTTCCCAAGAAAAACGACTAATGCATGACTGACTAACACAAGGAATAGAAAAACTTTGCATTGAATATGATACTTGCTGTCATACTAATAAAAGTCCCGAGGTTAATAGAATTATGCTATTACTCATGCTCATACCCAACTACCGAGCTGTATTGCTAAAATAAGCAATTAAACAACTTTCATAAGGTCCATGGGATCATTTACAATACGTCAAATTAATGGCATCAGATCTAATGGCCAACAGTCCAACACAAGAGGTGCATATTTGCTGCGAGAACTGAGTAGAAACTACAATAGTTGGACATAGCTGTATCGTATTTAATTGCAATCAGATCAGATCTCAATATGTACCGTATCCCCCAATTTATTATCCAGTGAATACATAAAAAGTTGCGATACAGAACTATAGCAGAATACTGAAAGGAAATCTGAATGAAATATATTGCAGAAGACAACTAGAAATAATTTTGCTGATTTACTTACCATATCCTTCCATAGAGATGATTTGAAGATCACCCCCAAAGTACCGAGCATACAAGCGGCTAATAGGAAGACCATATCCATATCCAGCCATTGTCACAGCATTAGCTGTTCCAATATCTGAATGCTCATCCAATGGGTTTCTAGCAGTACTGTAGAGATATGTAAAAATTTTGGGAAGGCCACTTCTTGGAATTCCACCTCCCTCATCTGAAACCTACAATACCAACCACACCACCTTAACGAGGCAATTTCATGCTGGCACGTTAAACCATCCTTTACAAAAGGCCAAAAGCGGATGATTGTGCTTATTAAGATATGGACACAAAGTACCTTTATGGTAACATCCTCTTCCCCATCAGCCACTATTATTCTGATGGGAGGGGCAACTTTGTCAGAATCCATAAATCGCTCTTGGACAGCACGCAGTGAGTTCTTAACCAGCTCGAATACCATAAGATGCAAGTGAGCGGGAACATACCTGTTAAAAAGACATGAACAAACTATAAAGAAAAGGAACAGAAACAACTTCTTAGCTACAAGTCAGAATGGTATAACCACTCTAAAGTAAGAACCGAACCAAAACGAGAAAAAAAGAAGGGGAAAGAGACATAAGGTTGGAAAAGGAAATGACAAAAAATAACATCAAAATCAAAATAAATGGCTTCAGGAAGGTAAGAACTAAGAATCAAGTTACTCACGGAAAAGTAAAACCAGGATCCCCATAAATCTGAACATCTGGAGCACTGCCATATTCACGATAACATATAACACGAGCATCTTCACTAGCAGTCCTTGCCACCTCCATCGGAGACATTTTTGTATGAATATAACCTACAACATGCGGAGCAGGATTGGGATTGTGCAACTCAACGTGCTGCCCTATATCCCACGACGCACAGATTGAGTTTAGTGGTTAGACCGACAACTTAAATCACTAGACTCAAAGAAGCCAGGTAAAGTGTTGTGTGAACTCACCAATAAGCATACGGATTCCAATTCTTGACATGTAGAAGCGATCAAGGAACTGCTGAATATCATCAAGATCTTCATAAACTATCTTTGGAGCCATGCCTTTCTTTAACTGTTGAATGCCTAATGCCATTGTGGGCACCACATTGTTGTGTCTCACCTTGATGGCCTTAATCATTTCAGTGAATTCTTTCTCATCATTCATATTCTTGATCTCAGGAAAAGTTCTGAGATCACGGAAGGAATCTAAGTACCAATCTCGGACCTAAAAACAAAAAATTTAGCACATAGTTCAAAGATCAACTGGCTTTTTTTTTTTTGGGGGGGGGGGGGTTCCATATAAAAGGAAAACAAGTTTTGCACCACATGCCTACTTTTATTGAATGAAAGTTGGTAAACTTCCGGAAACCACGACCTTAAAAGCTAGAGGGTTAAAGACCAATGAAAATTATTAAAAATCAAAGGAATAGTAACATTCCATTTTTGTCAGTATAAGCATTCAGTCATAGTAGAATGAAACAAACGTGAATTCATATAGAATAATAATTTATACTGTTCTAAGCAAAGAGTATTATGCAGCTTGCCCAGCTTATCCGAGGATATAAAACCTTTGATTTCAAATTTTAAATGGACATTTAAGATCTGCAACTCATAAAGTTCCATCCAAGTCAAAAACCGTAATCAGCAAAATAATAATAATAAGGTTCAGCAAAGTTTCCCATCTAGCCCATGTTAAAGGCACTCGAGTTCCTTGAAACCAAGTTGAACTTCACATACTCAATTATTCACATGTCAATTGCAAAGACCAGGAAACTATATTACATTATTAACTAAAATACGAATTAATTTTTTTATTGAAAATATCACTTCCGCAAATTCGCAGATAGTTAATCTCTCAATTCTCACGACTCAGTCAGTAAAGAAAAATAAGACCAACAAATTAGTAAAATGAACTACACAAACAGAATTACCTCGTAAGCAAGGGGAAGGGGTTCTGATTAATGAAATTCACAAGAAAACGAACATTCAATGTAGGAAGAGAGAAGAAATAAAGAGACAGAACAAGCAGTAACCTTCAGGACAGCAGGTTTTTCAGATAATCCATATGGAAGCCTCTCGAGCTCAATAGCTCTTCTAGCAATCCTAATGGGAAGCTCCTTGTGAAGGAACTGAGCGGAAATCAGCAAATTCCTATCAGTGGGTTTGGACCCAAATTCCATCATATACCTCAAGCTCACCCCCGTCTGCTTCAAACAACTCCATCTGTGAACGTCCTCGATCAATCCCTTGGAAAAGGATTGGCAGGCCTTCTTAGCCGCCATCGCTCAGTTCTGTAGCCAAGAACAAGAACAGAAAGGTCCAGTTTGGGTAACGATAACGAATCGGAGCAGCAACAATCAGCATGCAAGCCAAGTACTACAGAATGCAAAAATGACATAGATAAACACGAAAGAATCCCCAATTGCGAGGAAAGGAGAAAGAGAAAGAGTCCCCTCCCGCAGAGGGAGAAATTGACAGGTGACGAAGATGAGTCCTCAAAAAGAAACTATGGTTAGATTTTAACCATACACGGACAAATTGAAATTTCCTTATTCCGGAGATCAGTATTAATTGATGATCGATGATGATGGTTTATGAAGCCGGAAAAACTGTAAGGCTCTGTTGCAAAAAATGTTCCAATTCCAAGTCTTCTAATTTCAAAATGCCTAATTCCCAATCCCCCTTTTCAAGAGGGATCCCTGTAAAAATCAGCACAGCGGCCCGGCTCACCACGTGATCATTCAGATTCTTGAGGATGACATGATTTGACAAGTGGTTCCAAAAGGAGTAGTACACGTGTCAAGGAAGGAGGCTATTTCGGGTCTTTCACCCCCCCCAACACCCGGGTTACGTCGTTTCGGATTTTAACCCGTCGGGAAATGATCGCCGGAGCCTGACAAAAGAAGAAGGGTGTGTTTGGCAAGCATCCCAAACCATGGTTTGAGAAAAATGTTAGCCAAACACCCTTAAAAAAATCAAAACCATAGTTTGGGTTCAAAACCATGGTTTTGGGAAAAAGCAGAAATTTTTTACTATTGGAGAAAAAAGAGAGAGTGTGAGAGCCTATATGATATGTATCTTGTTTTTTTTTATAAACATATTTTTTATAAACATATTTAATCTTATATCTTATAAATATATATACATATTAATTATTTATTAATTATATTATCTTATATATTATTAATATATGTTAATAAAAATATATTATTAACAATTTTATTCCTTCAAATTAAAATATATCATAAAATATATTTTTTCTATAATTATTATATTAATTTATACCAATTTGTATATATAAAAAGTACTTCTAATAATGACTATCCAAACACTCACACTTTTCAAAATCACTTTTTTACAAAATCTATTCTTCCCAAAATCTATTTTTTTCAGAATCTATTCTCCAGAAGCTATTCTTCAAACCATGGTTTGATTTCATCCAAACACATCCTAAATGACTAGACGGCGTAGGACTCGGCCCAGTTAGGGCCCACTTTATTATTGAAAATAACTTCCTCATCTTATTACAATTTACAACCAAGATTTAATTAGATAATTAATTATGAATAATATAAATAAGTAGACTCAAAGTCGTACCGAATTACGTATTTAATGTGATTAGAGTGCTATGATTTTTTTTTGCTGTCAACCTTTAAAACCAAGTGACGTGACCTACGGTGTCCAGTTCCCCACAAGCAACTACGGAGATAACGTAAAAAGTAAACGTGGTACGCTTCTGAAGATAAGTCTTACCCCCACACGGAACATAAAATAGTACAATAACCCATGCACATAAGCTCATATGAAAATCATAATAATGAAACAGTACAAAATTGAGATGAGTTTTAGTGACGAAGGGCGTGTATTTTTCTTATTTTTTATGTCAAACACTTGTGTGAAATAAAAGAGTCATTGGTCACCCAAGCGTGGAGGGGAACATGAAAAGTGGTCCAGAACAGAAGAAAGGGTTGGTACGCGTCCCTAGGCATTAATTTTTTGGTATGTTCTGATAATTTTATTTTGAATCGGGCACTTGACATTTTTATCTTCTTTTCAAATAGTGGAGGGGAGACGTGCAGTGCTGTGGCGTGGGTATTTATATGATGGTGTCCCGAGTATGTGTATGGGCGTGTGGTGTCTATAACACTCAATTCAAATATCTTTTTTTTTTTTTGAGTTACAGGAGGGCGGGATCGAACCCGCGTTACACACACGCACACACCCACACCACTGGGCCAACAGGCCGGTGGTACTCAATTCAAATATCTTATCTGCAAAAGACCCCACTTCTCTTCCAAAATGTGAATCCCAGGGCCCTCGTCTCTGTTCACATGCATTTATGAAGCACCGCCCCAATTTCTGTTCTTATCAAACAAGATCCAAACTAACTAAAATGTTTGCCGTTTGATGCTGAGAGGTAGTGGTAATAATTATGGAATTAAAAGGAGTAGTACCAGAGTAGGACAAAATGGTTGTAGATGGCAAAGGTCCGAAAACCACGTGTGTGTTTAATTGAACCATAAATGCAATTACATCCCGATCATCAATCACCGACTTTTTTAATTGGTGGTGAATTGAATTCAGAAGTATATTGAAGTCATGCATACTTCTGAGTTCAAAAAAAAAAAATTTGCAGAGGTATTTACAAATTATCTATTAACAAAATTTTTAAATTAATAATAAGATCCTAATTTATAATCTTATAAGTTATAAATGATTATTACTAATTAGATCAACTCTTATTTGTCACCAATTGCCGATTTGTTGTGACCTACCAGCCTCAATAGTCACCACTCGTTTTTTCCGTCGGACTCAATACTCACCACTCACCACTTAGACTAATTGGTGGGTGTAGGCCCGGGGGGCTCCAATCTAGAGCCCGGTTGATTTTTGAACCAAGCCGCTCTTGCTGGATTTGGCCCCGCACCAAAAATTCCAAAGGGAAAATTATTATTGTTTTTTTTTTTAATATTTATTGTTAATATATAACATTTCTTATACTTTTTGTGACTGACCACATGACGTAGATTAAATTTATATTTTAGAATGCCAAATGCAACTAGCCAGCTTGTCTGTAGTTTGGGAATTTCATAAAACTATTAACTAACATATAACAAATATGACACATTTTTCTTAAAACATTATAATCATATTTCTTAATACTCTGTCTCCTTTTCACTTGATTATGGTTAGGGGAGTATCCATAGAGTAATTTAGAGAAAATTGATAAATATGAGAAATGGATCTTATATCTAGGACCAAAACCAACTCAATAGTTAGGTCCTGTATCAAGGACCGGAGGAGTATTTTGGGTTTTTGCTTCTATTTTGAAACCATTATTATTTTTAAAGTTATGTTGCTAAAATTGGCAGTAGTAGTTGTAAAAGTTAGTAATGGAACACACAGTACTTCTCTTATTCTTACTATAAAAATTTATTTAATTAATCTGATTAGATTAAGAAAACTAAGGAAGTTAGTTATTTTAAGAAATATAATATATTTTTTTTAAAATACCATGATCAT